TCCCACACAACGCCATTCACCTTCCGAAGAACCACCTTCGCCCTCACCTCCTCCAGCGCCCTCATGCAGCCTGGCTATGGCTGTCAGCGGCCTGCACCCAGGCTGCGCCCTACCGCTTAGCGCCAGCCTGCCTTCTCTCAGCCTAGCGCAGCGCAGCACCTCGCAAATGCACAACGTGCCGGCCTTGCTCGCAATGGCCAAGGTGCCTGTCCACTCGCGTGTTTTGCCTTTATGCCAGTGTTGCGTGTGAGCGGTCTGCCTTGAGCCTGCGCCTGGGCCCCAGTACCTGTACCCAGGCCCAATGCAGGTGAGGTCCAGGTAATACAGTTGCGCCCCTTATGCTAGGGCCGTTGTCCAGATTCAGGCCCTGTACCGGTTTCCCATTGGTTTTCCTTGGCCTCTATGACGAAATACTGCTTTTCTGAGGTCAGGGACCAATGTGTGATTGTCGGCCTCCCAGACTGTCGCCCAGGGCTCAACCAACCGAGGCCCTGGGCTCAACTGCCTTTGCAGGGAGTCTGAGGCTCTGTTACATGCCCAGTTGGGCGATGCACATAGAAACCGAGGATCCGCAATGTGATGAAAAGGACTGAAAGGACAATGCAGTGCAAGTAGAATCTCGACCAGCAATGTGCATTCTCATACATACAAAAGGGTGCTGAATAGCGCAGTGGAAGACTTAGATACAAGTCCTGACATGAACGCCACTGACCTCACTCACGTAGTGAAAGATAGCGAAGCAGAATGCTAGAATGCTAATGACTAGCCCAATCAATGTTTGAACGCAGACCAAACATTCATCGTATCCATCACCAGGTGTGAAGGAGCCTGGTGTTGTACACAGGAAGAAAGCGCCAGGTCCAGACATACACAAACGAAGAGGAGGGAATCAGACGAAAGGAGGGAGAGAGATGGGAATATCGTCAACACCAAGTCTTTGTCCCAAGTCCCAAATAATCCCTCGTTGCAATGTCTGAAGTCCAAAAAGTCGAGTCTGGATCCGATGTCACCAAGCTCTTTCTCTCTTCTCTCGTAGTCTGCAGATGCAGTGAAGTCAGATGATGAGAGGGGGAGAAGGAGATCGTGGACTGAGAAGAGGAAGAAGAAGAACTCTCTCTCTCTCTGTTACGAGCCAGATACTAACCTGTGATGTTGGCGCTGTGCTGCAGGTACCTCGAAGACAAAGCTGGAGCAACGCGCTGCAGGTAGGTACCCAAGGCCTCCGCCCAATCTCCCTCTCTCTCTAGTTCTACCCTAGCTATGGTGCCCAGCGCTGGAGACTACAGCTACCTACTGCGCCCAGCGCTGAAGACTAAAGGCTAACACTACTACTACTCCCTGCAGCGCTCCCTCCAGAGTGCTGCGGCCGAATCCTAAAGACTACTGGCTCCTGCCTACCCGTGAAGTGCATGGGAAGTCCCTATGTACTACCTCGGCCTGCCTCCTGACTGCCTGGCGGGTGAGCCACGCCGAGGAGGCTGCTCTTGCCAATGCCGAAGTGTGCCAGGGGCTGGTTGCAGCAGCTGGTGAGGCTGGCGTGGGAAACAGGCTAAGAATAGCCTGTTCCCGAAACCCTGGTTCGGTGCCTGAGTTTCACGGCCGGTCGTTCTGATGAACGACCGAAAATGGCCCTTTGTTTCAAGCTAAAAAGGTTGTTGCCATTTTTGGTCTAAAACGACACAGGGACTGTAGGCCCCTGTTTTCAGGCTTTCGGGCGGAATAGTCACGGGGCCTGTAGGTCCTGGTTTTCAGGCTTTCAGCCTGAGGGACGCAGGGCTTGGAAAATGGCCCTCGTGTGCAGGCGCAGCATGTAACACCCCCCCCTCCTTATGAAGTCAAGCCGGGGCGAGAGCGAAGCCGACGATCTGAAGGTGGAACCTGGACGCGGGCGCGGCGTGGAACCGAAGAAACCGGCTTGCCTTGCATCTTGCGTTCGTAGCGTGCGAGAACGTCTGGAGCTGTTGCTTGAAGTTCCGCACGGGTCAACCAACGGTCAGCTCGGTGTGTGCAGTATGCGAAATGTACTAAATACTCGGTTGGCCTGTTGCCGTAGCGTCGCTGGGAGATGATGTCGCCGACCTCCTGAAAACCGTCCATGGAAGGTGGGTCTTGCGAACGTCTCCCGGGAAAATCGTCATGTTCCGCTGGCGTGTAAAGAGCCAACTTGGAGCAATGAAAGATTGGGTAGACGGGCAAGTGGTCGGGCACCTGAATCGTGAAGGAAGGTCCCTTGGGTGCGTCCCCAGCGGGTGCTACGATCGACCAAGGCCCCATCCATTTCGGGAGGAGCTTGCAAGAGATGTCTTGTTCAAGGCTGAATTCCGCTGCAGAAACCCAAACGAGGTCCCCTGCACGGAATGGGCAAGGAAGACGCTGGCAATTGGCCTGCTGGCTCATGCGTTGCTGCGTCTTAGCCATCTGATCGCGTGCCTGGACAAGAAGCTCTTGCATCCGACGCAAGAAAAGAAGACGGTTGTCGCTCTCAGCCGTTCATGGAGTAATAGTGTCCAACGGTGAAGTGACTGGCGAGCCGTGATCAAACTCAAAGGGCGAAATCCCGATAGCCGGGTGGATGGAGGAGTTGTAGGTCAACTCGACATCCGGCACCCGCTCAACCTAGTCCTTCTGGTCGGGGCGGATGAGACTGCGAAGGAGAACCTGTGCGGTCTGATGTGCCCTCTCCGTCTGGCCATCGGTCTGAGGGTGGCGAGATGAACTGGGCTTGAGAGATGAGCGCCATCGCTTGATGAGCGCCAACCAAAAATCGGACATGAACCGAGTGTCGCGGTCGCAGACGATTTCCTTGGGGTAACCCTTGGTTCGAATCCAACTGGCGTAGAGAACCTCGGCCAACTCCGGTGCCTTGGCATGATAGCGACAAGGCAAAAACATGGCGAACTTGGTGAGTCGGTCGACCACGGTGAGAATCCCATCCACTCCGGTCTTGTGCTTGGGGAACGGGCTGGTAATGTCCATGGCAATCGCTTCCCTTCGCCTCCGGTAGTGAGAAGGCGCCGGATTAGGAGAGGAGCAATTCGTGTACTTGTCGCGAAACTCGGGGTCGGCTCGGTAGCAGCGGATGAAACTGTTCCGCAGGTCATCATCGATCTCGAAGGTTGAGTAGACCTCGGTACAATGATCCGGACGCTGTGAAAGAGCATCCGCAAAACGGTTCGACTTTCCGAGAATGTGATCGGGAAAGAAGTCGAACTGGTCGATGAAAGTCATCCATCGAGCGATGGTGCTGTTGACGGTGTCTTGGGTCTTGTAAAAGACCAACGAATTGTTGTCCGTCTACGTGGCCCCTTCGGCCGCAGATCCTGCGGCCTAGTCCGCGGCCCGGATCCGAGGCTGCGGGCCCGCTGCCGAGGCCGTGCGGCCGAGTTCCCGCGCGGCCGCCCCACGGCCCAGCAGGGGCGCGCGCGGGAAATCAGCCGGCGCGCGGGGCCTGCGCACGACGTTATCTACAGGACTGCACAAAAAAATATAAAAAATTTTGCTTTTTTGGGGGGTTGTTTTTCTTGATTGCCTTAGATAATTAAAAAAATAGAAAAAAAAAGTAAAATCGTTGATTGATTGTTTTTTTTGATTGATTGATTTATTGATTGATTGATTGGTTGATTGATTGATTGATTGGTTGGTTGATTAATTGGGTGGTTGATTGATTGATTGATTGATTGATTGATTGGTGGGGGAGGGGTCCTCGCTCCACTCCCCGGCCTACACACACACACACGCACACACACACACACACACAACACGCACACACAAAGGCGTGCACTCTCTCTCTCTCTCTCTCTCGCGCGCGCGCGGGCGCGCAGCATCCTTTCCCCGCGCAGCTTCTACCCCGCGCAGCTTTCTCCGCTAATCGACACAGCAGCTTCTCTGCTAATCGACGCGCAAGCTCTCACGCGCGCACACACACACACACACACACACACACACACACACACACACACACACACACACACACATCACGCACACACAAAGGCGTGCACGCTCTCTCTCTCTCTCTCTCTCTCTCTCTCTCTCTCTCTCTCTCTCTCTCTCTCTCTCTCTCGCGTGCGCTCGGGCGCGCAGCATCCTCTCCCCGCACAGCTCCGCTAATCGTGCGCAGCTGCGCGGCGCAGCTTCTCCCCCGAGCAGCTTTCTCCCCTGCGCAGCTTTCTCCAGCGCAGCTTTCTCCAGCGCAACTTCTCCCCCGCGCAGCTTCTCCCGCACACACACAGACACACACACACACACACACACACACACTCAATCAATCAATCAATCAATCAAAACAGATCAATCAATCAATCAATCAATCAATCAATCAAACCTTTTTTTTGTTTATTTCTTTTCAAATTTTGCATCTTCATTTTTGTTTTACACCTCATTTCCCTACAAAGAACAGAAATTCATTTCGAAAAAAAATACAGGTCAACTCAGGGACCATATATCTCATGATAAAAAATGACAAAAAAAAATTATGTTTTTCTTTATATATATATTTTTAATTTTGTTTAAATCGAATTTAGTTTTTGATTTTTTAAAAATCCCAAACGAAGTCGGATTCCCAAAAAACAAATATAGGAGTGTAGGTTTTTTCAAGCCCTACACGCCCATATATATGTATATTTTTTTTTCTGACGTATTTTTAGGGGGGGGGGGAAATTATTGAAAAACCGGGCCGCGAACCAGGCCTCATCGGCCGCGGTCGCGGCCGAGAATCTCGGCCGCAGCAGCCGAAATGCACACGGCCGCAGCTGCGGGTGTCACATAGTTGTCCGTTACCCATCGAAATTGGCTTCAACCAAGGACGAAGTGCCGCCACCGCTTGAGCTTGTGGACGAACGCGAGGAGCTCCTTCTTGTGTGCATCATCAATGGAATCTGTGCATCATCAATGGAATCCACGACGGGCACTTTCTTGCTGAAATACTTGACCGGGTGCCAGTCCACACCATCATGTTGCTCGAGGACTGCACCAATGCGATAGCCTGACGCGTCCGAAGTGACGCGCGTAGGCAAAAGCGGGTCTTATATCCGCAAGACCTCCGCAGATAATAGCGCGGCTTTGAGAGCAAAGAATGATTCCCGCGCCTCCTATCTGAAGTCAAACGACGGATCCTCGCATTGAAGCTTGGTCAAGTGGGCCGCAATCTTCGAGTAGCCTTTGATAAAACGCTGGTAGTAGCCGGCGAGGCCAAGGAATGAACGGACCTCCGTGACGTTCCGAGGCTCCGGCCACTCTTGGATGGCTTGAATCTTGTCCGATAGCAATCTGATGCCCTCCGGTGTGACAAAATGGCCCAAGTATTCCAACTCTTGTCGGACAAATTCGCACTTGTCGCGGTTGGCCTTGTACTTGGCGCGGCGGAGCGTCTCCAACACTCGTCGAAGATGCCCAAGATGATCCTCCAATGACCGGCTGTAGACTAGAATATCGTCCAAGTAGACCAGCATGAACCGGTCCAACATTGCACAAAACTCATTGGTCATTGCCGCTTGAAAGGTCGCCGGGGCGTTGGTGAGGCCAAAAGGCATGACCACCCACTCAAAATGCCCGTACCGCGTATTGAACGCGGATTTGTAGCGGTCATTCGGCCGGATCGAGATTTGATGATATCCTGATTTCAAATCCAACTTAGAAAAATACTTTGCGCCGCCCAATCGCTCAAGAAGATCGTCGATGCGAGGAAGAGGCCCCGCATTCTTGACGGTTTGCACGTTGAGCTTGTGGTAGTCGATACACAATCGTAGATCCTTSTTCTTCTTCCGGACGAAGAGAACTGGTGCTCCATATGGGGAGCTACTAGGGCGGATCCAGCCCTTGGCCAACAAATCGTCGAGTTGTGCGCGGAGGACCTCAAGCTCCTCCTCACTCATCCGATAGATGCAACCTTTCGGCGGCACGACACCGACCTCAAGAATGATCTCGTGAGAGATAGGCCGATCCGGCACCACACCGGTAGGTGACTCGAAGATGTCGGCGAACTCGTCCAGCAACCGCAACACCCGGGGGTCCGAAGACAAGTCCGTGGGTGAAGCGTTGGCTACCGCGACGGTGCGTAGGAAACATAGGCTGATTTCCTCGTGCTGCTCGTAAGCGCAAGTCGCCCAGAATGATTTGGCCGTCACCACTTGGCATCGAATCGAAGGGTGCGGTAGGGGAATAGTACACGTCACTACCGCGTCGAAGGCGTCGCGAACGCTAAGAGTCCGCCGGTGGAAGTTGACCGTGTGATCCGCACTTGCAAGCCAAGGCATTCCCAGAATGATGTCGAAGTCCGTGTCGAGAATATCGAATGTCACCGGTTCGCATGCATGAGGTGTGAAGTAGACCGGTACGGCCTCGATGTAACGGTCAATAAGTTGCTGCGTTTTCCCATCCGTCAACTTGATCCCCGTCGGGTTTGCCTTCCTTCGAGCTTGTGTGCCAAGGCCAGCCCTTTGCATAAAGGATTGGCTCATGAAATTTCGAGACGCGCCGCTATCCAGCAAAACGCTGCAGGACGCTTGCCCAACTTGATTGGGGACATACATGAGCGGTGCGTTGTTGTCATCGTACCGCTGCATGTGAAACTCGCGGGCCACCTTGGTAGTATACGCAAGGATGTCCCCCACCGCGACTTCGTCATCCGTCGGCGAAGTTTGTGGTGCATAGAAGGATAAGTAAGTGTGGAGATGAGCGCATAGTGCTGCGCATTGCGGTCCCGACAAGCGGCCTGTGGTCGGGAGAGGAAGCCATGCAAAGTCCTCGGACGTGAGCGGGTCCAATACCTCGATGTTGAACTCGCGCGCCGAATCCCATGAAGAACCACTTGAAGACGATATGTCGCCGTTGCCGGACGGAGAAGAAACCGCACACACTTCTTGTCCTTGAACTTGAGTACCCAGCGTAGGAACGAGCCGAGCAGCATAGTCCTCAAAAGAAAGTAGAAGAGGACTATCGACTTCCGCGTGCGCCTCAGAATGAAGGTCAGTTACTCGCGAAGAAACCGGTTCCGGAGGCGTCGAGAGTGTTGTCGAGTCACTCTCGGCGGTGCTCAGTTTCCCTGTTTGCCCTTGCCTTTCAATGGGCAGACCGGTGTCTGATGAAGATCATTGTTGCACCATAGGCAATAGTGGAATCCCGTGCGCGCCTTGAAGGCTTGCTCGGAGATGCCGTATTGGGACCAAGGGGCTGGAGCTGCTGCGCCGGGCCCGGGGCTAGATTCGGTGTGTGTCTTCGTCTTGCCGCGTCCTCGGCCTCTACCGAGGCGGCCACCTTCCCGGGCGGCTGCGAGTCTGTCCCCTTCACTGGCAGACACAACCTCGTTGGTTTGGTCAAACGGCGTTGCCGCCACGACCACGGCCACTCTTGGCCGATGCTGGTCCCTGCTCGGGCCTGCCGCAGACGAACGCAGATTCTTCGGCTCCTTGTTCGTAATGATGATCTGCGCGGCCTTGTCAAAAAGTTCCACCGTCGTTGTCAAGGTGTCCTCTTCGTGAGTGAGGGCATTGCTTAATGTCGGACAGGACCTTGAGATGAAGTAATGGCGGATGGCCTTGAAGCCGATCTGGATGTCTGGGACTGGCGTCAAGCGTTGGTACTCGGTTATCCAGTCGGTACTTGGCAGCGTGCCTTGCTCAAAGACCATGAGCTTGTCCATGTTCTTGATGTCGGGCGGCTCGACTTGGAACCGCTTGTGCCACGCCGCCTTCAGATCATCCCAATTGATCTTGGTGTGCAAGTCGTTAGCTATCACTCCGTACTTGGACAAGAGGTTGTGCAACCAAGCCTGGCACGCGCCCCCTGAGCGAGGGTACAAGTATGCGTGGTGCTTGTGTTCTTTGACGTTGTGAAGCTGCAGCGTGAGCTCGAACTTGCGGAACCATGGAACCGGATCTGTCTTGGTCCAGTCGTAGAAGATCTCCTGCCCGTCAAACTTTGGAGCTGTCTCGCGAGGCTCCGAACTTGAGGTATTAGATCCGCTGCAGTTGTTGCGTTGCGGTCTGCTGTAACTGCACGCCGTCCTTGAGGGAGCCAGCGTCCATCTCCAACGCTTCGAGGCGATCGGAGGTATTGGAAGAGCTGGCGTCGGGGGCGGCGACTGGTCGCTGCTCCAGCTGTTGAAGGCTGCCTTGGACTTGAGCTAACGAGTCGTCGAGGCTATGGATATCCTCCTGCTGTGTAATGCATGTAGCCAGGAGGTCTGTGAGATGCCAGAGGAGGAGAGCGATCTTGTTTTCGCAATCCTCCAACTTGCCATTCTCGGCCTCGGTCCGCCATGCCGCTGCCGTTGTGAGCAAAGTTTGCTCTCCGCTAAATATCTTCTCACGACGTTGGTTTCTTTCTTCATTGGCAGCCGTTGCTGCTGCCTCGTCATGCTGGCGCTGTTGTTCAAGTGCCAGCAGACGTGCCTGCTCGGCACTCTCTTCCTTCTTCTTCGCTGTTGCTGCTGCGTCATCTGCCTGTTTCTTCGTTTCGCTACTCCAAGCCATCATGCGGGCTTGATAGGCCTCGTCTGCTTCTCCGGACCTCTGGTCCATGACGGCTGTATGTGACCGCAACAGCATATACCAGGCCGGGTGCCTGCTGACGTGGTATTCCAACTCACCAACGCCGTCGCAGGGGGTACCCAGAGATAGATAGAGAAGGTAAGGCCAGAGGGGGCAACAACATAGGTGGGGAGGGTGGGTGGGAAGAATCGCCCAGATAAAGAGCCACTAATCAAAAAAGAAAAGTTTGAACTTTGCAAAAAAAAAAATTCGAAATAATAAAATCCCGAGTTTTGCAAGTTCAGTAGCTCTCCCAACCTCCCTTGAAGTGCGAAATGATCAAAAAGAGAAAAAAAATTCGACTTCAGACTGCAAATGATTTATAGAACTGACTAACAGAATCCTAGAACTGCGAAAAAAAATTTCGAAAAGAAATGACAATATTTGGATTTACTCAGATTGCAGTTCGGCAGGAGGGATTTCCCGTACCGTTTTTAGGAAAACGAAATTCGAAAAAGAAGATATTTCGAATTTCTAAGTAACGGGAAATGCAACAGGAAATCGAAATTTTCGAAAAGAAGGATATTCCGGATTTTCAACAACGAAATTTTGAAATTTCAGAAGAAATACGAAAATGGAAATTTCAGATGTTGTGCGATTACGATTTTCTACAACAAAAATAACGAGAAAACAAAATCCAAGGAAAAAAAAAAAAAAACGTTTTTCGGCAATAAGGTCAAAATCGTGATTTTGGGGCTATCTAGTGTGCTTTAATCAATCAATAAAGACTAGTCAGATACTTGGTCCCCGCACACGTGTCAGATCAGGTTGTCCTGATTCACGTGCGGTGCACCGATACCAACTGTTACATGCCCAGTTGCGCGATGTACATAGAAAACGAGGATCCGCAATGTGATGAAAAGGACTGAAAGGACAATGCAGTGTAAGTAGAATCTCGATCAGCAATGTGCATTCTCATACGTACAAAAGGGTGCTGAATAGCGCAGTGGAAGACTTAGATACAAGTCCTGACCTGAACGGAAGTGACCTCATTCACGTAGTGAAAGATAGCGAAGCAGAATGCTAGAATGCTAATGACTAGCCCAATCAATGTTTGAACACAGACCAAGCATACATCGTATCCATCACCAGGTGTGAAGGAGCCTGGCGCTGTACACAGGAAGAAAGCGCCAGGTCCAGACATCCACAGACGAAGAGGAGGGAATCAGATGAAAGGAGGGAGAGAGATGGGAATGTCGTCAACACCAAGTCTTTGTCACAAGTCCCAAATAATCCCTCGTTGCAATGTCTGAAGTCCAAAAAGTCGAGTCTGGATCCGATGTCACC